GGATATGCTGCGGGCATGTGTGCTAGACTTCGATGGAAGTTGGGATACCTATCTCCCACTAGCTGAGTTCTCCTACAACAACAACTACCACACGAGTATCGATCGTCCTCCCTTTGAGATGTTATACGGGAGGAAGTGCAGGACCCCGATATGTTGAGGTGAGGTGGGCCAGAGGGTCATGGGGAGCACCGAAGTGGTGCTCAAGACGACAAAGAGGATTCAACAAGTTAGGAGCAGGCTCCAGACTGCACAGAGTCGGCAGAAGAGTTACGCCAACAAGCGCCGATCGGACCTGGAGTTCCAGGTCGGGGATATGGTCCTCGTGAAGTTGTCGCCATGGAAGGGCGTCATCCGATTCAGGAAGCGGGGCAAGCTGGGCCCCAGGTATATTGGACCCTTCAAGGTTATAGCCCGGGTGGGCAAGGTGGCATATAGGCTGGATCTGCCAGCCGAACTCGGTAAGATTCATAGCACATTTCATGTCTCCCAGTTGCGGAAATGCCTGGTAGACGATTCGGCGGTGGTGCCTTTGGAGGATATTCAGGTTGATGACAGCTTGAACTACATCGAGCGGCCAGTGGCAATCCTTGACAGGAAGTCAAGGGATCTGAGGAACAAGAGAGTGGAGCTAGTAAAGGTGCAGTGGCAGCACCGAAGGGGCTCGTAATGGACCTGGGAGCCGGAGGACGAGATGAGGGAACATTACCCCGAGCTTTTTCAGGATCGAGCAGCAGACTTCGAGGATGAAGTCTAAGATAAGTGGGGGAGATTTGTAGCACCCGATTCCTGGTATGTCTTTAATTCAGGAATTTTATGTATTTTTCTCTGGGACTCGACGAGTTGGCGGCCCAACTCATCGAGTAGGGACGGGATCCGCGGGAAGTTTAAGTGAGCTACTCGACGAGTCGGAGACTGACTCGGCGAGTAGGTGCTGTTTGGGTGAAACCATGAATTTGAGGGTTTGCACCCTATTTAAACGTCTTATTGCAGCCTCCATCGTCCCTTATGCTCCCAGAACACCTCATATCGAAACCCTAGCCGCTTTGAGAGATATAAGACCATTTTGGTGCTTTTGGGTGGTTTGTGAAGCTTGAAAGGAAGGAAGAAGCTCGAGAATTCGAGTTGGGGCTTGTAGATCCATAGATTTTATTCCATCTTCAGCTCAACCAAGGTAAATGCCCCTTGTTTTGGTCTTGCATTTGGTTGTTCATCTTTAGGGCTTAGATTTTGGGTGCATGTAGGGCTTTCTAAGCCATTTTCGGACTTATGAAGTGATTTATGGGGTTCTACTTTCGGATCTGAGTCATTGGAGGGGTCTCATGGCATAAAGGTGCCAACTTTATGGCCATGAGAGCCCCATGCACATTGTAGAGCACCTTTTGTGGATTTTTGAGCCAAAAACCACATGCATGTGCACCAAGTTTGGAACTTTACGCATAAAATGGACATTAGGAGGCCAGATCTATGGTTTTGACGTGTTAAGACCCATTTAAATTGACTGTATAGTAAGGGTCAAGAAGGAACTCGGCGAGTTGTTCTTGGAACTCGACGAGTCGATGTGTAATGACCACTAAATCCTTTCTGTGGTTGGACCAGCGGTTCGGGAAGGAAGTCCCGTAAATGTTTAGACTCGTAAAGGGACCTGGGAATCATGGGACTCGACGAGTGTATGAACAGACTCGGCGAGTCCAAGGCAATCTCCCAACTTATGAAGACGAACTTGACGAGTTGTTCATACAACTCGGCGAGTCGCGGAATGGACATGTTCATAGGATGGAGGAGAACTCGACGAGTTGTTCATACAACTCGGCGAGTCGGATGAAGGTTCATTCGATGATATTATAGAAGGGAACTCGTTGAGTCTTTGCTAAACTCGACGAGTAGAGTCGGGAGGGGGGTCAGATGAAAGGAAAGGGACTCGACGAGTTGGCGGCCCAACTCGGCGAGTCAGGTCAACTGGAAGTTGACTTTGACCAAGGCTTTGACCTTGACCAGGGGTAAATTAGTCACTTTACCCAAATATTAGTTAGCAGTGTTTGACTAAGTGTCTTTATGGGAATTGCAGCCCGGGAGTTACCGGAGCAGCAGTCAGACATTTCCCGATCAGCTTTTCAACAGTCAGCCTTACGAGGTGAGTTACCTTCCACTAGGGGTGGGTCTACGGCACCAATGCCGGCCCACCAGTAGGTGATTATGGTTGAGATGATTGTCTTTGTGATAATTATCTGGTTGATATGACCGTGATGAGATATGTACTAGTAGTAGTAGGGCACACTAGTCCCTAGTTACCGGTTGAAAGATACCGAAGACGGTTACCGGTTGAAAGATACCGAAGGGGTTGACAGAACCCACACATGCATAGTAGTATGTTTATGATATGTTATTGTATTATTCAGTATGCTTATGTTATGAACATGAAACCAATATGTTTATGCTATGGATTATGTGATAGGGATAAGGGGGGGGAGGAATAGTCCCCAGATACCGGTTGGAAGATACCGAAGAGGGGGTTAGCTCCCGGGTACCGGTTGGAAGATACCGAAGGGGAGGGTAGCTCCTGGTTACCGGTTGAAAGATACCGAAGGGGAGGATAGCTCCTGGTTACCGGTTGAAAGATACCGAAGGGGAGGATAGTTCCCAGTTACCGGTTGAAAGATACCGAAGGGGAGGGTAGCTCCCAGTTACCGATTGAAAGATACCGAAGATTCTGTGCTATGGGTATGATGGGGGAACTCACTAAGCTTTGTGCTTACAGTTTTAGTTTTGGTTTCAGGTACCTCTTCGCCCAAGGGGAAGGAGCCGGCGGTGTAGCAGCACATCACACACACACACATGGTTTCCGCATGGAGTTTTCTGGGAATGTACTATGATTTATTTTACTTTTGACAATATGATTTTCAGACACTTCGATATGTTTCTTTTTACAAATGACATGGCATGGGAAATGTTTTGGTAAATTATGTTGTGAATTACTTAATCGAAAATGAAATTTTTGGGCTTGAAATTTGGGATGTTACAATAGCACTACTATTCCGGTCTACAGTGGCATGTGTTCCAGACTGCATTCTAGATTGTGCTACATATTCCAGAAAAGTTCTATTGATTCCATACTCGATGTTTGCATTTCAAAGTGTTCTGGAACAATTTTTATAGGGTTTTACAAGTATTAATTGTTGGTAATTATTGAAAATATGCTTTAAGGAATCCACTAATGAGCAATAAAAGTAGTTATGGTTCTGTCAGTTTTGTTTTTGAATTGAATAAGTTTAATTAGGAGTTAGTGGATAGTTATTCTCTAGTTAATTTTCAGTTATGAATAACAACTATATAAGCTGATGTAGTACAATGATTTTGATATTCCAATTTCCAATTCCAATCATTGCATAGCATATCTCCTCTGTTCACTTTTCTCTTGTTTACAACCTATTGTCTTCTTTTCTATTTGTTTAAAACTAAAAAATTGGTATCGATCAGAGCTGATTTCTTGAGGGATCTGTGAGGACAAATGGCAGAAAGTAGTGTTTCACAATTCACTATTCCTGTGTTCAATGGTGATAATTACCAGCTATGGGCTGCAAGAATGACATATTATCTTGAAGCCATGGATCTTTGGGAAGCTGTAGAAGCGGACTATGTTGTTCCTCAACTTCCAGAAAATCCTACCATGGCTCAAATCAAAGTTCACAAAGAGAAGACATGATGGAAGTCAAAGGCGAAAGCAACTCTGTTTGCTGCAGTCTTTACGACCATTTTCACAAGAATTATGTGCCTCAAAACTGGAAAAGAAGTGTGGGATTATCTGAAGGAGGAATATGAAAGAGATGAAAGAATTCGAGGCATGCAGGCTCTCAACTTGATCAGAGAGTTTGAGATGCAGAGAATGAAAGAGTCGGAGACTATCAAGGAGTATTCAGACAAATTACTGGATATTGGAAACAAGGTACGATTGCTTGGCTCTAAGTTTTCAGATTCAAGAATCGTTGAAAAAATTCTCGTTACTGTACCTGAGAGATATGAAGCTTCAATAACCACTTTGGATAACACAAGGGACCTGTCAGAAATTACAATGGCAGAATTGTTAAACTCGTTACAGGCAGAAGAGCAACGTAGACTTATGAGATATAAGCATGTTGTTGAAGGTGCTCTACCGGCCAAGCATCGAGATGAACGAAAGCAAAAGAAGAAGAGTGACAAAAAAGCCTCGTCAACTTCTGTTGTTGAAGATTCGGTCAATAATCAGAATCAAGCCAAAGTTCAGACCCCAAAAAAGAATTATCTGCCTTGTAAGCATTGTGGTAAAATGGGCCATCCTCCATTCAGATCTTGGAAAAGACCAGATGCAAAGTGCAACAAATGTAATCAGGTCGGCCACGAAGCTGTTATATGCAGAAGCAATACTCAAAAACATAAAGAAGTCCATAAAGCTACTCAAGATGGAGAAGACCATATGTTTGTTGCATCTTGTTATTCAACAACAGTTTCTACTGAAAGTTGGCTAATTGACAGCGGGTGTACAAACAACATGTGTAATGACATCAGCCTCTTTAGAGAGGTACTACCTTCGAAGCCCAAAAGAGTGAAAGTAGGAAATGGTGAATATGTTCCAGTCAAAGGAATTGGAACAGTTGCAATTATAACTACTTCAGGTACAAAAACAATATCAGATGTCATGTATGTACCAGAAATTGATTAGAATTTAATAAGTGTTCCCCAGCTGCTAGAAAAAGGATTTAAGACCTACTTTGAAGATTTTTGTTGTCGTGTATATTATCCAAATGGAAAAGAATTGATGAAGGTTAAAATGAAAGGAAGAAGCATGGCTTATGATCCAAAAGAAGAAGAGCAAATGGCTTTTTACAATAAAGTTAGCAACACTGACATATGACACAAGAAGCTTGGGCACTGTCATCTTCAAAGAATGCTACAAATGCAAAAGGATGAAATGGTGAGAGGTCTTCCAAAGTTAGATGATCAACTTTCAAATTGTTCAGCGTGTCAATATGGAAAAAAAAGGAGGATTCCATTCCATAAATCATCTTGGCGGGCATCAAAAAAACTTCAACTCATACATTCTGATGTTGCAGGACCTCAAAGAACACCATCATTGCAAGGTAATGTTTACTACATTATTTTCATTGATGATTTTACAAGAATGTGTTGGATTTACTTCATGAAGTTCAAGTCAGAAGTAACTGATATCTTCTGGAAATTCAAAAAAATGGTTGAAAACCAAAGTGATTGCAAAATTCAAGTGTAGAGGTCTGATAATGGAAAGGAGTATACATCAGAAAAATTCCATATGTTCTGCGAGGAAGCCGGCATTGAACATCAGCTCACGGTTCCATATTCTCCATAACAAAATGGAGTTAGCGAAAGGAGGAACAGATCCATATTGGACATGGCCAGAAGTATGTTGCACGATAAGGAGCTGCCAAAATATTTTTGGGCAGAGGCTGCTAACATAACCGTGTTCCTACAAAACCGGTTACCAACACTTGCTTTGGAAAGTAAAACTCCTTTCGAAGCATGGTTTGGTTATAAGCCTTCACTACGCTTTCTTAAAGTATTTGGGTGTGTATGTTTTGTTCACATTCCTCAGGTTAAGCGTGACAAGCTTGATAAAAAGGCCATTCCGGGAATCTTTGTAGGTTATGGTTCCGTTTCTAAAGGTTACAAAGTGTACCATCCTAAAAAAAAGATGACAATAAGCAGAGATGTACATTTCAATGAAGACGAGCAATGAGACTGGAACAAGAAAAAAGAACCAAAAGGTGTTTATTTTGGTGACAATGCAACAGAAGAATCAGAGGATGAACCGATAGATGATGCCTTGGAAGACGAGTCAATTGATGATCCTCCCGTAAGAGGTACAAGGCTACTTACAGATGTCTATGCAAGGTGTAATGTTGCAATACATGAACCATCTAATCCTGAAGAAGCCCTGAATGATCCAAAATGGAAGAAAGCAATGTTGGAGGAGTTGTCTATGATAGAAAAGAATAAAACGTGGGAGTTGGTTGAGAGACCAGAAGGAAGAAAAGTCATTGGCGTTAAATGGGTGTTCAAAACAAAGCTCAATGCTGATGACACCATCAACAAATTCAAGGCTCGACTCGTTGTTAAGGGGTATGCTCAAATTTATGGTGTTGACTATTCTGATACTTTTGCTCCTGTTGCAAGGTTAGATACAATCAGATTGTTACTAGCCATATCTGCACAAAAAGGTTGGAAAGTGTTTCAACTAGATGTGAAGTCAACCTTCCTAAATGGTGTACTACAGGAAGAGATATTTGTAGAGCAACCAGAAGGTTTCAAGATTCAAGGCAAAGAAGATAAAGTCTATCTACTCAAAAAGGCTCTCTATGGTTTGAAACAAGCTCCGCGAGCTTGGTATAACCGGATAGATACTTACTTGTCGGATCTCGGTTTTGTTAAAAGCTTATCTGAAGCTACTCTTTATGTGAAACATAAAGAGAATGATATTCTTATTGTCTCTCTTTATGTTGATGATTTGCTCATGACAGGAAATAACAAGAGGCTCATAGATGAGTTTAAAAAAGAGATGATGCAGGTTTTTGAAATGACAGATTTGGGTCTCATGTCATATTTTCTTGGCATGGAGATCAAACAAGACAAATGTATGGTGTTCATCTATCAAAAGAAATACGCAAATGAAATTTTGAAAAAATTTCAAATGGAAGAATGCAAAGCAGTGAGCACCCCAATGAATGAGAAAGAAAATTTTAGCAAAGAAGATGGTGCAGATAAAGTTGATGAAATTTATTTCAGGAGCCTAATCGGTTGTTTGATGTATCTCACAGCGACAAGGCCTGACATTCTCTTTGTTGTTAGTCTTTTATCGCGATTTATGCACTGTGCAAGTGTGATACATTTTAGGGCAACAAAACGAATATTAAGGTACATCAAAGGCACCATCAATTTTGGAGTAAAGTTTGAGAAAAATCAAAGATTCAAGTTGCATGGTTTCTCAGATAGTGATTGGGGAAGATCAATTGATGATATGAGAAGCACATTAGGCTACTGTTTCAGTTTAGGTTCAAGTATTTTCTCATGGTGTTCAAAGAAGCAGCAGATTGTAGCACAATCTACTACAGAAGCAGAATTCATAGCAGCTACAGCAGCCACAAATCAAGTTCTATGGTTGAAAAAGATTATGTGTGATTTGCAAGAAGAACAAAAATTTAGCATTGAAGTTTTTGTTGACAATCAAGCAGCTATTGCAATCTCCAATAATCCGATATTTCACGGGAAGACAAAGCATTTCAACATTAAGCTCTATTTTTTGAGAGAAGTGCAGCAAAAGGGTGAAGTCTCTCTAGTCTATAGTCTACTGCAAGTCTGAAGACCAGCTAGCAGACATCTTCACCAAACCACTTCCGGTCAGCAAGTTTGAAGTTCTAAGGCAAAGGATTGGAGTGTGCGGTCCTTAAAGCAAGGAGGAGTGTTGAAAATATGCTTTAAGGAATCCACTAATGAGCAATAAAAGTAGTTATGGTTCTGTCAGTTTTGTTTTTGAATTGAATAAGTTTAATTAGGAGTTAGTGGATAGTTCTTCTCTAGTTAATTTTCAGTTATGATAACAGCTATATAAGCTGATGTAGTACAATGATTTTGATATTCCAATTTCCAATTCCAATCATTGCATAGCATATATCCCCTGTTCACTTTTCTCCTGTTTACAACCTATTATCTTCTTTTCTATTTGTTTAAAACTAACAGTAATAGTAATATTAATCATACACAAAGCCTAAATACCACCAAATCTAGTTAACAAAAATTTATTTCCTATAAAAAACTACTAACAACATACTAACATATTTTAAACATACCCACATATTTCAGATAATAATCTTTATAGGAAATGACACATATCCACAAGGGTCGAACTATTCACTGTCAGACGTCATCATGCATCTCCGAAACATCGATAAGAGAAGAAGGTGTAGGCCGAAATGGCCGTTCGGGAGTGATTGTCTAAAATGGGGAGGGGGGGGGTGTCTATATATATATATATATATATATATATATATATATATATATATATATATATATATAGTCCGGTTCCAGTGAGGACTAAAAAAATGGTAAGGACTACGAGGACAATTCTCCACCACCTGTTTCGTGAAGGGCACAAACGTCAAATCCAAATACTTGGCCGTGGTGCATTTGCATACGACCCACGTCCGTGGTAACTAATATGAACTCAACGATTTAGTCAGGTGCGACGAACGTCTATGGAACGTCATTTAAGTGAATTTTATTATTTATTTTCTTTTATTTATTTATTTATTTTTTATTTTTCGTTAAAAAATTAATTTTTGTAAAGAGATATATGCTCGGTTTTAACGTTTTTAGTTTTTTAGAAAAATTGTTATTTTTTCTTTTTCTTTTTTCTTTTTCATATTTTTAAAGAGATACATACTTGAAGGTACTAGTGTTTTTCTGTATTTCTGTATTTATTTTTTTGTTTATTTTTTGATTTTTTAAACTAAATATCGGTTTGAGTTTTTAATATTTAACAATTATAAAATTTTAAATAAGAAGAATATTAAAGATCACAACATTTTTCTTACATACTTTTTTTAAATCATATTATTTTTGGATCATAAAATTGTGAATCAATTTTTTTTTGAATTGTAGTATTTTGAATCAAATCATTTTTGAATCATATGATTTTGGATCAATAATATTTTCAATTAAATATAGTTTTTATTCAAAAAAAAATTGAATCATTATATATTTTGAATTACTTAATTTTGAATCATAAAATATATACTTAAGGATTATAAAATATTTGAGTCTAAATATTTTTAGATCATTACAAATTAAGAATCATAAACAAGTTTGATCAAAAGTTTTTTTTGAATCATAAATAATTTGAATCATCACATTTTGGATCATATTATGTTCAATATTTTTTTAAAAAATATAATATTTCTTAAAATTAAAAATAAATACTTCAAAATTTTATTTTTGAAAAATTCTTTTTACAAAAATTGATGAGCTTAGGGGGTTTTATTTATTTATTTTTTTTCCTTCTTTCCTTTTACCCATTTAACCTCCAAACAATTAACCTTTGCCGGAAAATAGCAAAATCTCGCACATAATTAAAAAAAGGTCATATCATCTTGCGAGATATTGACGATAAATAAAATAAAATCTTCATCTTTTATTTTTTCAATTCTGCCGCACAGATTTTTCATCACAGTTCTCACTCGGTCCAACATCTCTCTCTCTCTCTCTCTCTCTCTCTCTCTCTCTCTATATATATATATATATATATATATATATATATATATATATATATATATATATATATATTAGTTTATAACCCGTGGAAACCACGAATTATAAAATTAATTAAACTCTCATAATAAAAATTTATAATTATTAATCAATTATTTTAAATAAATCATTTTAAATAAATTATTAATTAAGAGATATATCAAATTTTGAAAGTTATTATAACTTCAAATTAACATATAATTAGAAAATGTAAATTTGAATTTTGAAATGAGTTGGCTAATATATCTATATGACACATGACATACTATTAAATAAAAGTTGTATTAGAGTGACACTTAGCAAAAAGGTGATTAAAACTATTCATTTATTAGAATAAGGATATATATATATATATAAAAGGGAGCACAGTAACGGATCTGGTTAACAATGTGGGTGACCCCGATTAAAACGAGCCCAAAATACAACATTCTGAATTATCTTGTTATTTTCCAAAAATTCCAAAAAATTGGTTATTTTGTTAAAAAAAAACTAAAAAACTTGGTTGGTTTACTCAATTTTCCATAAATCAATAAAAAGTTTTAAAACACAATCCATTACACCCTTAATTTTATTATTTTTTAAATGACTATTAATTTACCTATAAACTACACGGATATTTTTGACAGGACTTAAGAACACATCTAACCTTTTTAGTAAATGTGGCCACGGATAGGGATGACAATCATGTTGTATTCGGATTAGTGGGGTGCCGGTTGGTGGGTTGAAAAGTCATAAAAGATCTAAAAATATTTGTGTCGTCTTGTTTAACCCTAACCCGAGTTGGCCATAAATCGGACAAAATCGAATCTGTGGGTTACAGGAAAAAAAAAGTCTAAATATCACTTATTTACTTATTAGTCTTACTTTCACTTTTATTTAATAAATGTATATATCTTTATATTTTTAATCAATAAACGAATTTACAGATCACTGTAATATTATTTGCAACTAGGGGTGTAAGTGAGCCGAGCTACTCGTGAGCTACTCGGGATCGACTCGTTAAAAGCTCGACCCGAGATCGAATTAAACGAGCCTGAGCCGAGCTCGAGCCTAAATACGAGACTCGTTTATTAAACGAGCTCGAGCCGAGCTTCAATTCTTGGGCTCGCGAGCCTAAACGAGCTTAAACGAGCCTATGTGTGTGTGTATATATATATATATATATATATATATATATATATATATATTATATATATATATACATACACACATACATACATACACACACAGATATATATATATATATATATATATATATATATATATATATATATATATATATATATATATATATATACACACACACACATAGAGACTCGTTTAGGTCGATTAGGCTCGCGAGCCCACTACATTGTTCACGAGCCTAGCTCGAGCTTCATTTTAAGGCTCGAATCGAGCTCGAACTCCCTTAAAATTAAACGAGCCGAACTCGAGCTTGGTCAGGCTCGGGCTCGGCTCGGCTCGTTTACACCCCTATTTGCAACTCAAACATATTTAAAAAAAATCCAATCCAAACATTGTTATCTTCGTCGTGATAATAAAATTGCCACCCATGGTCCATTGATACATAAGGCAGTCGAGCACTAAAAATTCCAATTAGACCCGCTCGACCGCAACTCCCCAATTGATATCTATGATCCATTTAACTGCACCTTGCAACAGAATTTAACGTCCTCCCTATCATCAATCAAAAACCCTGCAACACCACATCAAGATTAAACCCCCATTTGCCAATTCCATCAAATCACTTTCTTGGACGATATGCATCAGGTCAGGTACTTTCAACTATGACAGTAAATACAGAGTAGCTACTAAAGAGCTTTCAAAAGGTGGATTTTTAATCAATCATTCAAAAACTTTGGTGGGGTCAGGCTCTGATGCATATGACAAAGGCAAGACTGCTCTGCAAACTTGGAGGTTTGTTTACATCTTTACTACCTTCCAAATGAATTTGAAAATGAAAAGAATCTGATTGTGATTTTTATTAAGATACATACAATTGAGGGTTCTATTTTGGGAAATTTTAGGCATTTCGGATTGAGTTGGGTATTTGTTGATCCAAACACACCAATTGAAAATGGGGTGAAGTTTTGTGCTTGTGTGAAGGAGTTCATTCCATGGCTCAGGATGCCTTTGCAGGTTGTTTATGTTAATGAAACTAGAAACCCTAAATTGTCTGTTGCTTCTTATGGTTTTGGTGGAGGCACTCAGAGGACACTTACTGGTGTGTGTACTTTCTTTCCTCTTTTTGTATGTAATGTTTTCATTTGATATGATGAGACAATTTTGAACTTATCCTATCAAAAACCATATATCTGTTTGTGTAGATGTACATAAACCTTTTTAGAAGCATTTGTCTAAACTATATATATCAACTTTCTCATTAAAATTTTGTTTAAAGCAGTCTGGTGAAGAGCGGTTTTCAGTTGAGATGGATGAAGAGAAACAAGTTTGGTATGAAATACTTTCCTTCTCAAAACCAGCACATCCTCTGTCTGTTATTGGGTACCCGTATGTATTTCTTAGACAAAAGTATTTTGCTCACCAATCTAGTGATGCAATCAGAAAATCTGTATCCTCAAAGTAAACTCTACAACATTCTGCTATTATGAATTCACAATCTTTCATCCATGTTTCTGTTCTCTTTTATGTTTAAAGGAACGAATAGAATCCCCCAATTGTATGTTCACAATCTGTCATTGACTTGTGCCCTTGAGTGGTTTAAACTGCCTATTGGAACTCATGAAGTAAAAACAGATACAACAATACCCAATCCCAAGTAAGAAGGTAAATACCGTATGAAAAACTTAAAGGGATAAATTGGTCACCTTTTGTCACATAGCACAAAATGACCACCAATTTCGCAATTGATCAATCGTACATTACAAAATTATTTATGAAGGATATCAAAGACATAAAACTTTTAAAAATAATAAAAAACAATTCGTAGTAAAATTGCGAAATTGTTCGCCAATTTTTTATAAGTATTTTTGTATCTTTTGTTAGTAAAAAGTAATTTTGAAATTCTCAATTGTGAAATTGGTTGTCATTTGTATTATTAGTAAAAAAAGATGGTCAATTTGTTAAATGTCACATCATATTCGGTTATTTTTGTGATTCTCCCCAAACTAGAATATATATTAATTACCCTGATTATAAGCCTTCACACCCTCCTAAAACCAAGTCCCTGGATAGAAGTAAAAACAGATACAAGTACGAAAAGGGTGACAACTTCGATTTGCTGAAGTTTATTCATGAATGATAGTTCGAGTACAAGATGTGACACACGATATAAATGAATGATCTTTTCTTCTCCTTTATCAAGATTCAAAAGATCAAGCCTTTCTCAAAGTGCTAAAATTGATTGGAGTCACAAAATCTGGATCTTCGCCAAAAACCAACACTTGAGCTGCCAGTTTGGAGGCTGCCTCAGATGGATGAAACGCATCCCAAAACAAGTGATCATCCCTTTTTGGGCAAAGATACCCTCCTTCCTTGCAATCATTTATTCCTGCTAACGAGTGATTCCCACAACATGCTGTTTTAACATCTTCAAACCCTGTGAAAACGTGCCATTTTAGAAGCCGAATGTATATATGCATTTGCGAGTGAATAAAAAACTTATGGTTTCCATTTACCAACTGGGGGGTTTTCAATGACGCTCATACTCATATTGTATGAGTTCCCAAGTGAGTACTTGAATCCTTCAAGTGTAGAGCTCATGTTTTTCAAAAGGGATTCTAATGGTGTGTAGAATGCACTAGCCACATCGTTAAGTTCCTTTGCACAATCACCACCGGAAAATGCACGAGCAATCGGACAACATCCAATTGGTGGAACACTCATTAATCCAAACTTTCTTGCTCCCAAGTCATATAAGTTCTGTCGGTTTAAAAAAAAATAAATGATGTAATATGAGCAGAAAGTTGAAGATCAAAACTTGGAGATGGTAGTGACAAATGTCAGGGAACCTTTAGATGAATAGCGTAGATGGCTGTAATGTTGGCGATGAAGACCTCTGGAGTTGTAGGGTGGGAGAATACATAGTTCATGATGTCGTTGCTTCCAACACAAATGATGTACATTGAACCTTGAATTAGAAGTTGACCTTTTGACTCGCCTAGTAATGCGGTTATGTTTCCTTGAACCGTTGCAAATTGTTGAATTTGCTCTTCCAACGATACCACATCCCCCTGTATCAGCATCATACTTTCTTATACATAATGCATGACATGACATGATATGACATATTTTGAGCTAACAAAACAAGACGACCTTGAACTGTATTTGACATGCATTGAACTTAACCCAAGATTTATGTAAATAAGACAAAAATTACAATATTTAAGAACCCTCAAATTGTATTCCAATTTTATAGATGAACACTTACCACAACTTGTTTCCCAATTCCTTTAACAAGGGCAGCACCTCCGGAAGCAAAGTTCACCCCGTGAAGTAAGTCTCCCGTAAGGTTGGAACTATGTGCAAGGAGTGCAAGAAATGGAGGCGGACTTTCTTCGTAGCCACCCAAAAGTGCGACTGAACATACACGGAATAATCATCTTAAACTTGTTTAAATTGTGGAGCACCAACAATATTTTTTGGCGTTCCACGTTTTGAACCCTAGGATATTATCCGTTTTAGGAAACCCAACACTGGGACCCCTCGACTTCTTAGGGGTCACCCATTAAGGTTTTGTACTGTATATGAAAATGAATAACTTACCGACAGTATCGGCAGGGTTTAAGCCATTGCTGAACCTTCCCGTTGCTATTGAATGTGGATAATCGATCCCGTAATATGGGCGATTGACTTGTGCTTTGCAGTTTTTAAGGTAGTTGTTTGTGCCAACATCTACTATTGAATCCCCGAATATGAATACGGGTCCCACGGTTTCACTGGTTGCATCCTTTGTGGCTATTGTTGTCACGCTGAAAAGGAGTAGGCATATTTTGAGCAGCATGGGTTTTTGAATTGTTAATGGCGTGGCCATCTTTATTTGGTTAGTTTGTGAATGAAGAGGGCAAGTACTTGTAGAAGATGGAGCCTTTTGGATCTAGAATGTACATAAGGAAAAGGTTAAAAGATTATTGGCAATGAAGAGTAAATACTTAGTTTATATCAATTACCATGATCATTATCCTTGTTTATAACCAAAAATATACCATGAACTGTTTCTCGTTTTTTGGTAATATTAATTGAGTTTGGAATAAATCGTGAAAAGATAAGTATTTGGTCTGTTTGAGTTGAGCTATGTGTGTGTTTTACGTGGTTAAAAGCAAAAAACTGATGCTAACTTGTACATTACTTATATTTGGTAAGTTATCTAATTTGAGCTGGACTAACATCGAGCTAATTTGCCATCACAATTTATGTTAGATGTGACAATTGCAAGTAAAAGTGCTCAATTACTTTTATGTGACACTTTGTTTTGATTTAAAATTGTTCATGCTTGATTTAGAAACACATTTTGACAGCTGAAATTGAAGATTTTGGACCGGAATAATGTATAATTTTTCTTACAAGATATAATAGAAATTATTGCGAAATGATGGTGTTTTCGTCTACAAACAATGTTTAGAAACATATATTGCAAGTAATCAAGGAAAAAAAAGGTTCGTCTACAATCAATGTTTGGAAGCAAAACTATATAAATTTAATCAAATTTCTATAGCAGGATGGAAAATGTAATCTACATCTACTATCTCCTTTCCCCCACCACACATTTAACGAATCTAAAGCCAAAATAACCACCATCAATTGATTAGTGAATTGCCAAATTGTTTTATGGATGGCATCTGCCACAAAAACTTTCAAAAAAGTAATCATATTTTTCGCAATTTTTTAAAGTTTTTTTTTTGGTAGCTTTTTCTCGTTAAAAAGCAATTTCACAATTTTTTTGGAATTCCGCAATTAACCATTTGTGAAAAAAACAGTCATTTTAGTCCAACATATGTTGAAATTGTTATTTTTTGTGATTATCTCTCAAACTAAGACCTATACTACTCCTAAAGTTTAGAAAACAAGAATGCAAAACAAAATAACCAAAATAACTCTTTGATTAATCGGAAACTAACTCAAAACCGATGTTTTACAAACTGTGCTCATAATCATAAACTCGATTATAGACATGTATATATAGCCTAACAAACCAAATTGTATTAGACTAGGAAACTTATGACCAACTTGCCATAAACTAAACTTGTCATAAATTAGATTGCTTGGTCTCCAAGCCCTAATCGACTTAGGATTCCAACAATCACCCCCCGAATCTCTAAGTCCTTCTAGAGAATTCTTCAACCCCGATCCGTATTTAAAATACGGGCTCGTCGTTGTCGTCACATTCCGAAAAATCACCTTCTTGTAATTTTTGGAGTCGTTTCGGACATTCAGAGGCAAAGTGACCCGGTTTGTCACACCGAAAACAAATCACCTTAAATCGGTCTTTTTCCCTATTTTTCTGATTTTTATGACAACAACAATTACAATTTTTGCAATTGTTGGAATTGGGTTGAGTTAAATCACAATTGGACTGTTTATTGGGCCGATTACTTTGAGAAACCCTATTATTCCCTTTGGGCCCGCCTGACCCAGATAACCCACCGGATCCGGATCCACTTGGCCCGTCAGTCCCATTAAACCCATTCACATTATTAGACCCATTCGATCCACTCGTTCCTTTTGATCTACTATGAGAACTAGTCGATTTCTTTGCAAACAATACCTTCGACTGATCTGCCTCACTGATATCTTCCTCCCTAATTCTATCTTCGTAAGCTTTGAGCCTTCCGACGACATCTTCAAATCCCACCGTCTTCAAGTCCAAGACTTGCTCAAGGGAGGCAACGATTTGGATGAATTTCGACCTAGGAAGAGTTTTGAGGAATTTCTTTACCAACTTCGATTCCTCAATCGTCTCACCGAGTGCCGCCGATTTGGACGCGATTCCGGATAGCTTTCCGACATAGCTATCGATTGATTCCGACTCCATCATCTTCAGCTGATCGAATTCGGCGTTTAGGGTTTGCAATCGAGCCTCTTTCACACGATCAACACCTACATATCTCGCCTTAATCGCTTCCCAGAGTCCCTTGGCAGATTCCACATCTCCGATTTGCATGATTAGATTCTTCGGGATTGCCTGATACAACAATCCTATTGCAAGATAATCTTTCTCTTCATTCTTTTCTGTTCCCGGATCAATTACAGTCCAGGCCTTATGGATTCTAAGAACTACCTTCATTCGTAGAGCCCAAACGGTATAGTTGGTTGATGATAGCATGGGACAGACAACTATGGTGGATCCAACTTCCTTCGCATTCACCGGAGGAGGCCCTGCACCATCTTCTACGTCTGACATATTGACCTAGCTCGTCAATAGGTAAACAACTCGATCTCACAGCTTCTTAACT